GACCTTCCACAGCCTGCAGTTCAGCGTCTTAACCACTTGAGCCACTGCAGCTCCTTTCTCAAGTGTACAACTCACATAATTCTCTTGAAAAGGACCACCCACCTTTTCAGTCTTTCAATGGGGCTCCTTTCACTCCTATCCCCAGTAGCTGGTCTCTGATTTCTACCTGCTGATCCAGCCAAGGCATCCAACACAAAATGCCTCCACTGCATCACTGGGGTAAAGCAAGGAGGCAGCGAACAGAAAACAAAACCGCTGTGTTTTTCCCTTCACGCTCATTCCTTTTGATGTTTCCCACTTGGTCCCGTTTTTTACAAACAGAATAAACGGGGCTGGTTGGTTTCATTTGCCATTTAATGTTTACTGCCTGTTAACTGCTTGCCACAGGCCAAAGTTTGTTTGTTTTTCAAGGATTATTTACTGCCCTGCTGTTTGCTTCCAGTTCCACTGTCCTTTTCTTTAAGCGGTTGTGTCCACGACATTTTTTTTAGTAGGCTATTGATTATCCGCTACTGCTGGCCTCAGCTGCCATTTTAGGGTCTTGCCGGTTTATTCACACTGCTATATATAGAGATAGATGATTCGATCTGTTGAAATGTGATTGTGTATTTAACCTTTTTTTTTATGGTGAGCTGCCTTAGGAGCCAAGTGTGGCTGGGAATGTGGAGGGGGGGGGAGAATAAACCCACGAATCTCAAAGGTGGTCGGCTGGGCAGGGGGCCAAACAGCAACCAGATCTGGCTGATGGGCTGACAGATGCCTCTCCCCCCACCCCGCAAGAGCAGAAGGAAGCTTTTCCATCCTCTTCCCCCTACCAATGTGGTCTCTAATAAATCCATCTGGATGCGGAGTTAAATTCCGACCAGTCAACCCTGTGCATAAGGATGGCACATTAGCTAATTCCCCGATGATAATTAAATCAGCTGTGGGTGACGGCCTTGTCTGGCTAATGCTTTCTTTCTCTCCCCTTTTCCCTTGCCTCTCTTCCTACACACACACACACACACACACACACACACACACACACAGCTCCTTCCACTCGAACACATTCCTGACTGACAGCCCCATCGGTCCCTTCCTTGCTGGGAGACTTAATTTAATTTTGCACTTTTCTTTTTTTGGTTGGGATCTGCTGGTTCTGTTGACTCACAGCTGTATTTTGACATTTGATGATGGCATTTGGCCGATAATCATAATTATAAGGAGGGGGGAGAAGCGTCTGGTGCGCATCTGAGACAGGCTGGTTGGGTGACAGGGAGACGGTGATGTGGAAGCAAAAGGGGGGGGGAGATGAGAATGCAGTCCAGGTGGCCCACGTCAGGATTGCCTTCCTGGATCAGAACTGTGCTCTGTCTCTTTCTTTCCTTTCCTTTTTTCTATTTTTTATATGTGCGTGTGTGTGTGTGTGTGTGTGTGTACGTATGCACACGTGTAAGTGTGTGTGCACCTGGGAGTCATGGCGACCTCTGGTGACTGACTGTGTGCACACCTGGAAGTCATGGCGACCTCTGGTGACTGACCCCTACTGGGGCCTGGAGGATATTCAGAGAGGTCACTGAATAAAGCCTGCCCCCCACCTCCTGCCTCTGGCATTCCAAGGAGGTCTCCCATCCAAGTACTCGCCAGAGTCGACCCTGCTTAGCTTCCAAGAGCTGACGAGATTGGGCTTGCCTGGGCCATCCAGGTCGGGGCTGCTCTGTCCCTTTCCAACCTCCGCTGTCCAGATGCCACCAGTGCTTCACAAGCCAGGACATGAGTGCTGTTTGTCCCCAGAATGTGGTATTCAGAGGTGTCATGCTTCTGTACAAAGGCATGCAGCCAGACTTTACAGGAAGCTTGTAAAGGTAGGGTATGATGGTGACATCCTTCCTTTGTGCCCTTGAGCTGGCCTGTAGCTCAGTGGTAGTGCACCTGTTTCGCATACAGAAGGCCCCAGGCTCAATCCCTGGTATCTCCAATTAAGAAGGATTGGATAGTAGTCGATGTGAAAGGTTGCTGCCTAAGACCCTGGAGAGTTTCTGCCACTCATCCTTGATAGACCAGTTGTCTGGCCCAGCAGAAAGCAGCTTCATACATGAAAGGGATCTAGGTGTTCTGGTTGATCACAAGCTAAACATGAGCCTGCAGTGCGATGTGACAGACAAAGCTAATGCAGTCTTAGGATGCATTAACAGAAGCATTGTGTCCAGATCATGGGAGGTGGTAGTTCCGCTCTATTCTGCTATGATCAGGCCTCACCTGGAGTACTGTGTCCAGTTTTGGGCACTACATTTTAGGAAGGATGTCGACAAGCTCGAGCGGGTCCAGAAGAGGGCAACCAGGATGGTGAGAGGGTTGGAATCCAAGTCTTATGAGGAAAGGCTGAGAGAGTTGGGTATGTTTAGCCTGGGAAAGAGAAGGCTTAGAAGGGACATGATTGCAGTCTACAAATATTTGAAGGGCTGTCATGTAGAAGATGGAGCGGATCTATTCTCTCTTGCTCCGAATTGCAAGACTAGATCTAATGGGTGGAAATTACAAGGGAGTCAATGTATAGAAATATTAATTCCTATAGGCCTTAGGTCTCCCTTTGAATGTTCTGTGGGCTCATGTTTCCCCTTTGGAATGTACCCCCTGTTGGTTTGATTTCCTCTCGAAGCCAGATGGCTGACCATTTGCTCAGATTGCCCCCATAAACCAAATGCCTCTGCTGAAGCATGGCAGAGATGCACGTAGGCTTCTGGATGGGAGGGGGACAAGGGATCAGCTTACTGCGGAGGCTGGTCTCTGAACCCCACCTATTCCCACCCATTTACCATGACAACCCCAAATTTGGAAAGTACCTGTCTCATTGTGGTTGGCTACTGGCCAGGGCCGGTCATAATGAGATTGCGGTTCAAATTGGCTAACCCTTAGAGAGGAGCTCACTTTTTTGGCTTGCTCTCTCTTTTTTCCTGTTTTCCTGCCTGTACCCTGGAATGTTGTCTCTGCTATGGGTTGAGGCAGACAAAGGATTCTTTGTGGGCTGAAGCACATGGCTCTGGGCCCACAAGGATGCAGCTACTCTTTCTCAAGATATGGGACTCTTGCTATGGACTATTGACCCTTCTTTCTGTTGGTAAATATGCTCTATCGTGTAGTTAGGCAAAACATTGCCAGGTTATTATTTTATAATCTTTTCTAGTTTGATTGCAAGTTCTGTGCTAAATAAACTTTACTCTTGTTCATCGATACTGTCTGTTGATGAGTAACTGGACTCTAAGCCTAGATTCCTGTGCCTAGCTGGGCTACATGCTACCATTGAGCCTTAAAAGAGTGTATCTCTGAGGAGGTGCCAGAGCTGTTGAGCAGTGGGTATTGTTGTTGTTATTGTATTGTGAAAATACAGGAGTTCTTCCCTCATTCCTAGTCAGGCGTGGGGGCAGGATCCTGTACAGTCAATACCAGCTAAATATCAGGAGAAACTTCCTAACTGTAAGAGTGGTTGAGCAGTGGAACAGACTGCCTCAGGAGGTGGTGGATGCTCCCTTACTGGACGTTTTCAAGCGGAGGCTGGACGGGTATATTGTAGGGCTATCTTTCGGCTGTTCTCCTGCAGAGTGCACGGGGTTTGACTAGATGACCTGCAAGGTCCCTTCCAACTCTAAAATTCTATGATTCTGCGTGGTCATGTTTTTTGCTCCTCTGCAGTTGGTACTCAGAGACACGCTGCCTCTGAGGCTGGAAGCTTTATTTAGCTACCATGAACTGAACCATTTCTGTTGTGTAGCTATTGAAAAGCCCAGGGATTTTTCAGGAAAGACCCACAGAGTAACTCATCCAGTATGGATCGCTCCTGAAAAATCCACACAGATCTACAGGTATGTGTTCTATGCATATGCGCAGGGGTCATTTCGTTAAAAAAAGGTGCAGGAGCTCACTAGCATAACTCATTAGCATAACTCATTAGCATAACT